GTCGCTGAAGTAAAACTTGAAATTACACAGAAGAAGCACGAAAGAAGCTTAATCAGGTCATAATACGGACGCAAGCATGGATTGACTCACACAACCTCTAGCTCTACTACTGAAAACAAATAAATAAGCACATACCCCAGTAACTTATATGTGTAAGACTGGACCACAGACGAACATTCTGGGTTCATATCCAGCACGCCGTAGRAAAAAAAAAGYGAAAATCACCTCMCAACCAAGAAAAGAGGAAGCTCCTAATGTCGACGACARYCAGCGTCCTATTATACGGAGCTGAGATCTGGGCAGATRTGCTTAACCTCAGAGTTGTATCAGCCCACCGGACAGTGTCAGGTGGTGCAATAYTAGTTATAAGCGRTAATACACCAATCGACCTTTTCGTATAGGAAAGGAATATAGGAAAGRTTATAACAAAATCRCAGTACAAYAAAGAAAGAAARATACAATAACAAAATGGCAACGAACGTGAGAGAATGAAAGTCGCGGCAGATGGATAGCCAAACTAATAAATGATCTAAGCTTATAAACAAGCCGTAAATTCGGAGAGTCAACTTTTGCACAACTTTGCTGTTATCCTTTCCGGTCACGCATACTTTAAAAACTACCTTTACAGAATGGGAAAAGCCGAAGAGTTCGACGCGACAGAAGACGACGCTGAACACACATTCTTTGAATGCGTGTGTTGGCAACGAGAACGCATCAGGATTATCCAAAAAGTTGCAGCAATGATAATACGTAGCAAAAAGCGGGACCTGGACTCAAGACTCTCCCACRGAACCACGATTAACTATAACTTCGTGGGAGTGGCAGGGCGTTCAAGTCGCCTCTATTGCCGAATGTCTGCCTAATATATTAAAAAAAAAGTGTACGCTGACAACTTTCTCTTCCAGTTACCATACAATTTTCGTTTTGTTCAAAAATCAAATTAGGAAAATCATCCATCAGGGAGTGGTATGCTAAGGTTAGACGTGGGAAAACATCAAAAAAAAAAGTCCAGAAAATAATTTTGGATGACCATAAAGTGATGTTGCTCGAGCTAGCAGGCATTTTAGATTTAGCGACTGAAAATTTCCACGATATCCTTCACAAATTTTTCTGTCTGGGAAAGCTCTGTGCTAAGTGGATACGGCGCGAGTTCCTTTTTGACCAAACACAACGATGAGTTAATAATTCCGTTCCCACGACAGTCGGGTCTACGAAAACCGGAACGGACCCGGATTTTTATCCGGCCAAGGACTGTCAACTCGGCAGAATTCCGCCGTTACAACAACAACAACATGAGTTAATGATTATAAGCTGTGTTTGGAGATGTTAAAGAGTAATAAAACCGAGTTTTTGCATTGTTATGTGGCAATGGACAAAACATGACTCCTTTCCGTAGACCAATCGACAATCATCCGAGTGGATAGTACACGATAACCTCAAAGCATGGAAAAACGCCACAGTTAGATGACAAGGTTTGGACGTACATATGGAACATTTTTTATTGACTACGTGGAAAAAGAATGGAGCCTCTATTTGAAGAACGAAATCGCCGAAAAATGGCCGCATTTGAAGAGAGATAAAGAGCAGCCTCACCAAGCAATGCTCTGTATAGCAACTCAGTTAAAACGATGGAAAAAATTCATGAACTGGGCTTCTATTTATTTCCGCATGCACAGAATTCTTTATATCTGTCTCACAGCGTCTATTTTTGTTAGCAGATCTGAAAAGAATGCTCCCTGAGACGAAATGTCTGACGAATGAAAAAGTGATGGCCGAAATTGAGGCCTATTTTGAAACAAAGGACAAAGCGTGCTTTAAAAATTGGATCGAAAAATTGGATGGTCGCTATAATGTATCAACCTTGTTGAATAAGTATAAAAAACGAATTTGGAACAAAAAATATTTTTTACTAATTTTTTTATTCAAGAATGCCTTGTTTTCAAATTGATTTTTTAAAATTGGTGGAACAGTGCATTTTACTCTCCACGTATCGCACAAGCGGGAGGAAGAGTCAAAGAGAGCTAACTAAATATTATTTTCACTGGTTGGCGCTGAGAGCGCGTAGTTCTAGTTTCATTCGTCGCAACGGGTCATGCTATACCTTTTAGGAAAGCTCATTCCACGCGTTAATACGTGTTTGATTGGTTGTTGTTTCTTTTAATTCGTTGGTGAGTTATAGCGTCGCAAACATGGAGCAAAATAAAGAGAAAATACTTCATATTTTACTTAATCAATCAATCATCTCAAGCCGCCAATAAAATTTGTGCAGTTTATGGACCCGATACAGTTTCCATTTCCACCGCACAACGATGGTTTCAACGTTTTCGTTCTGGTGTAAAGGTGGTCGAAGATGCGCCACGCTCCGGAAGGCCTGTCGTCGAAAATTGCGATAAAATCGCTGAATTGGGCGAAAGACCGACACAGTAGCAGCCGTAGCATCGGTCAAGAGCTGGGCATGAGTCATCAAAAAAAATTTTATGAACAATTGAAAATTCAATAAAAATACCTGCAAGACTTTTTTGACAATTTAATATAATACCAATAATAAATAAATTTCTCTTATTTACATTTTATATTTTGTTTTATTTTTATTTTTATATATTTTTTCTGTTTTCTCTATTTTCTTATATATTACATTATTCACAAAATTACAAAGTTTAGAAACCATTAGCAAAATAATTATGATATTTTTATTTTATTTTAACTCTTTACTTGTTATTTAGAGGTAAACGAAAAGATTTAGAGTACAAAGTACCTTTGGGGCTGTTGTGTTTGTTTTTCTTTTGTCTCTGTACGGTTTATTTAGATTTGTGTTTGGAAGTGTGTGTATATAAAGCGTTGCAGAGCCTAATGGGTGGATGTACGAATGCAACAGTAACAACAAACACTGCATTTAGACATACATATATTCTAAGTAACAACAACAACAATTGTAAATGCAAAGAAAATCGAAAATAAAGTAAATAGCAACACACCAGCAGCTTGAAAACCGTTAGTTGGTCGCAGCATCTGTGGAAAGGCGTTGTGGTGGCGAACACTAGCGGGGGCGGGGCGTTACAGTTACATACGAGTATTTTGTGTACATTTTCATTTTTTTTAATTCTGCGATATGTTTCAAGAAATTTTCATTTGGTTTTCTCCTATTTTATATTTTTGTTGTTGTGTTTTTTGTTTTCCTTGCGGTCACAATAAAATATCTGCGCTACAAAAGCAGGTTAAAGCGTCAATGTTGATATTCCCTAAATGTGTGTGCTGGTGTGTGTTTTTGCGTGCTTGTGTGTGTTTGTATAGGCCATTGTGCACAAAGTTATGCAAGACATTATTGTTGTATTGCTGTTGCATGCATTATAGCTGGCACTCGTGTTTGCGTTGGTGTATGTGTGTGTTTGTATGCGTATAACTTCAGCACCCTGACGCCTGCCTGGCATTCCAGCATTATTGGGCGCCCAAGTCATCGTACTTCTTGAAGATGATGTCGTAGACGATGTCAAGCAATTTGTTCCAGGCTTCCGCTTGACGCTCGTTCAAATTACACGCTTCGCTCAGCACCTCCACAATGGCTTCGCGCAGTTCCTGTGGCAGAAAACGGAATGAAATTAAAACAAAATGTATAAATGAAAACAAACAAATTATTAATGGAGGTGGCTCTGTTTGAAAGTATGCATAAATGTTCTTATATAATATACAATTATTGAATTTAACAAAATAATAAATTTTATTTTGTCTTCTTGAAATTTTTAAATATGTTTTACGCTGGAAACTTTATTTTTTATATTAGATTAAAAATAATAATTTTTATTTACGTTTTTGCTGGAATTTGTTTCTTATTTTATTCGCTTAAAATATGATTTTTTAAATTATTTTTTCTTTACTTTTTTAATTTGTTTTCTTATATTATTTTTTATATACATATTTAGATACTTATTTTTATCTTATTCTAGTAGTCTTTTTCAATTTATTTTTATGATTTATGATGTTTTATCTAGACAAAAACCTTCGCAATTTTTTACATAACTTTTTGTATATACATATATAAAAATTTTTCCGACTCGTAATCTATAGTTTATTTTCTTAAAATTAAATTTGTCTTTGTTAGATCTGATCATATGAAATTTACTTACTAGTTTTAGTTTAAAAAAATAAAATGTTATGTTAAATAATAGAAA